TGGCATCACTATAGTGTTGCTGGCAGCAGAAAGGAGAGGATCAGGCTTTGAAGGGAACAGCAGAAATAATGTAGGATAGAGTATTATTTAAGAGTAACTCAAGCGGAACTGAGTAGCAAAGTACTTATTTAACTGGTATTGACTTAATACTCAGTGTCCAGTTTTAATTTTATCTTCCACTGTAATAGTTAAAATCTCAAATTCTTAAAAAAGAGTTGCATGATTAGAAAAGAATCATAAATTATCATCAATAAATAATATTAATATATTTTTATATATTGATTAAAAAATGTTCTTCTCTTATCAGTACTGCTGCTGATATATAGCACAAGGAAATACAATTCCATAGCCTAAACTTAGCAAACCTACCTAAAAGCAAGATATCTCGGGTCACTGTTCAGAGGACTTCTGCAGACTGAGAACTCCTTATTACCAACAGGATTTCAGAGCAGCTTAAACAGTAGGATGCACATGGCACCAGCCTGGAACATAGGATCAGATTAAAGACCTGTCTCTCAGCCTTTCTCTGCATATGTCTAAATATTTACCTTCACCTCTGGTATATTTGAGAGCCCAACTGAAGTAAAGATTACCAAGTACTTAGGTCCTAGGAAGAAAGTTTAGCTGCTTTTTTCCGGTGGTTCTATTTTTTACTTGCTATGTCTCAGCCTAGTAGCTTTCATCTGACTTGGACTAATGGACTGGTGTCTATAGGTGCCTCTACATGAGCATTTTAATCCATATCTGCAATAGCCTTGTTGAAGCAAATCTCCCCACGTCCCCTCTGACCTCACTTTGGGGCACACTACAGAGCAGTCTCTGTGAGTTTGAAATGAATTCCTTTCATATAAAACTAAATGTGAAGATCTGGCCCAGAAATGTGTCTGGTTTGATTGAAACACTGGCAGGTATTTGGTCTGTGGCACCTGATTAGAGTCACTTTTAAGAAAACTCTTACAAAATTTGCATGACATGGCTATAAGGGCCTCAGCCCCAATTGCTCCGTTGTACACTTCTTCTCTTGCTGCTTGCTAATAAAGGGAATGACGCCATAGCCATTGTTTCAGAAAACAATCCTAAAGTCCAGGTAAATAACACTGCATAGGATTGGTTGCACCTATTTAGGATTTTCCTAGCAGAAGAAAGCAAGCTATTTTGCTTGCCTTTGCATGATGCTTTCAAATATATCTGCAGTCATTTATTTCATCCAGCTACATCAACTGGACAGAAAAAGTAACACTTCCAAATGGAAATGGCAGGGAGGGGGAAAAAGGAGGGAGAGTTAACTAGCAAAATGCCTTAAAAGTAATAAACTTTCCTCACTGAGCCGTAAAAAAAGCCCCTTTCAACGTCCAACAGCTCATACCATAAGACTAGTAGGATATGAGTAATATACCCTTTCAAGCAAACAGACTATGTAAGATTCTTGGAAATAGACTTTGTCAACAATCTTCATAGAGACAGGACAAGGTAAGATTTGCCTTCAGTCTCTATTCCTGCCAATGTTCTGCTCAAAGCTTCTCACTCCCTACCCAGGGATTAAAGCCAGAGAAAGAAGAATGAAATGTAGAAGGATAAGAAAAAGGCAGTGACTTTGATACTTCTTGAGTGTCCTTTTCCTTCATGTGTTCAAGAAAATCGAGTGCCACAAAAAATAGATGAAGAATTAAAAAACCCAACAGTATAAGGCATTAGATGAAAGCCTTCTTGATCCTTTTTACTCTACTATATGGGTGGAAAGTAATGCTCCATCTCTTCTTTCTTAATAAAAAGACACAGTAAGCAAAAGACTGGCCCCAAAAGCAAAATTCTCCTTTACAGTAAATTTTATAAAGCTTCATCAAAAGATCAGATATTGTACACAGAGCTGAGAAATTTCTTGCTTTCCATGTATGTAGCTAATATATTTAGCATTTAACTTTTTATGGTCTTGTCTGACCTTATCTACGTCACATCCGCAAAAATTGATACAGTACTGTATTAAAGGTATCACCTAATGGTATATTTGAGAAGAACTGAAGCACTCAGGGACTAGCACAGGCCATACTTGTCCTTCTTAGTTCCTGTTGCAGCTCTGTCAAAAATCTAAATTGATTTGTTCATAAAAAGAAACAGCGTGCTGCTGTGGAAGGAGAACTCCACAAGCTCTGGTTTTGAAATCTCTTCTCTACCCTATTCAAGATGCATATGTATAACCAAAAAAAAAATCCAGAGAATTCTGCCAGTTGGCAGTGGCATATCAGACTTGACACTTGTCGAAGTCTTCCAGAAGCTAAAAAAATAAAATAATAATGAAAAAAAAAAAAAACGGTTTTAGACCTTCCTGTTTGCTAAGATAACCTTCAAAAGGTGAGCTGGTGTGAATTACTGCAGTTGAGGCCATTCTACTCTGTGGGCAGCCTGCTTCTGACAAAAAAAAAAGTTCAGAAAAGTGTAAACTGCTTTTTTACATCTTGGTGGAACTAGGAAATTCAATGATGATCAGTACAGTGTCAACATTGTTCATGTATTTTTTCTCATCTTACAAGAAAAAGAATTCTTAACAGAGGAGGAAGAGGAACTATCACATTCTAAAGATCTGCATAATCTCCTAGGGATAGTATTTCATACTTATGGTTTCTCTAACAGATAAAGTATATGTAATGTAGGCCAGAGTTTGGGACAGTGCTTTTTTCTTGTTTGTTTTTTGGAATGCTTTATTTTCCCACCAATATAACCTTGAGGTACCATTTAAAGTACAATCCACATTAGTCTCTTTCCTTAAGCCAAATGAATATTTACACCTGGAAACAAAAGAACATAGAGGATTAACTCAGAAACAGCCTATTAAATGATGAATGATGAAGAAATACGGAAGGATATGAATAGCTATGAATGAGCTGTTCAGCTTCACAATGTAATTGAGAAATGTTATTTAAACTAGTCAGAGATCTACTGCTGCAATTTTTAAAAGGGAAGGCTATATAAGACAGAATAGAAGAGTACAGATGTACCTTCTGGCTGTTAAAGGAGAATAACAGTGGAAACTGTTATTTTGAGGGACAGGGAACAAACACAGTATATTATTTTTCCCATAAAAATTCAAGCTCACTGGAGGCCAAAACATGCATCAATTTTTCCAGGGTGTAAAATCAGAGTAGTCTATAAAATTGTATTAAAAATTAATATAATCCTTTTCAATGCCATGGTTTTGATTTGTAGGTGGTCAGTACCAGTTTAACATATATTTAATTGGATTGAAAATACAAAAACTCAGAGAATGACTTTTAGAACAATTCAAAGGGCAGCAGCTGGCTGTTACATGGCTTTGCTATAAAATCATGAAATCAAATAATCATGATTTTGTTAAAAAATCTGCCTGATCTTAAATAAATCCTTCATTTTGTCTCATCAATTTCCCTATCTGTACAAGGGGAATCATGTTGCACACAGAGAGTTGAGACTGGATCCATTTGGTTTGGAAACGTGAAATCCTTTGACAAATCCTTTGAGGAAAAATTAACTCATAGCATTAAGCTTTCTATATGCTTGCTGTATTTAAGTTATATTTATATTCAAGTAGTATCTATACACTTACTTACAAAGGTTATGATTTGGCAAGCCGATCTGCGCAGAAACCTATCTAGATAAGTATGGAAGGTTGTTATGTGCATAGCGTTGATTAACACTGATGTACCTCGTTACACCTAACTCACTTGGTGATTCCACATCACCTCATCTATCAGCGGGAATCTATGGCATGAGAGTAGTATTTGTCTTTCTCCTTACAGAATTGGTTTGCTACCTTTAACAGTATCATTGTCACCCCTATTTGACTCTTTCTATAAGATTCCTGCAGCTATTGTTCAAATCTGCCTAAAGAGAAGGAGCAGAGAGGAAGGACAAGAGCAGCAGTGGTAATATTTATACTGTGCGATGGAGCACACTGCAGATATACTTTACGAGCTATTGACTCAGTCTGCCCTGGCGTTGAAAGCAATTGTATTAACATAGGATGGACTTTAAGCTAGCAAAAGGTCTTTTCCTGGAATCTCCTCATTCATGTCTCACGCCTGTGGTGGGATCTGGGCTGCAGCACTGCAACTTGGAGAACACTTTGCTGAGCATGAGAGATGTGCAGTAAAGTCTCTTTTGCTCTAGGACTGAGTAATCCAGATGCAGGTGATGAGCAGACTACAACTTTGAGCGGCATAAGGAAACCTGGATCCTGTATTTGGCACTTTCAGTGGGCTGTGTCTCTGAACTGTAGTTGAAAAGGAGCATGATGACAGAATGTTACTCATAGTGCAGGGGTCTGAACAAGTCTGCAGTAACTCCTGAGTATTTATTAATTTGTATACAGAGCTGTGTTAATGCAGCAGCATTCCAAGCTAATATGTTCAGTTGCTCCATGCTATGCATGTCCCAGGCCAGGGCTTCTGCTCCACCTCCCCTGCGGCACATGGTGAGACCCTGGGCTATGGCTGAGCCTTTATGCTGACCCAGGAGTGAAGTTTGCAGGTTTCATCTCGTATTCCATTTGCTATAAAAATCCAATGGCTGCAATTCAGACAGCCAGCCCAAAGCAAACACAGATTAATATTCCCTTAGCACTCCTTGGTTACTATATGTGCTCCCACACAAGACATGTTACCCATCGTACAACTGCTCTATCTTTCCACTCATTTGCAGGTTTCCTTTCAGCACTGCCTATACAGTAAAGAATACGTATAAAATTGAAGTTTTTCTTCTTTCTCTATCTGTAAAGAAGATACTTTCACTGCTCTTCAATGGCTAAAGAGAATAGGGCCATCTTTAAAAACAGCCAACAATTTTATGATATTCTGCTTTCATTATGTACAAAACTATGGCTTTATTTCACTCACTGAAGTTAGAACAGCGAAACATTGTCTTTAATATCTTATTTTCTCAGATTATTTTGCCCTAAAGGCCTTTAGCAGAATAAGGAAGAAGTTCAACTCCAGTATAAATAAAGATTTTATTTGGGTGACTTTCAGAAATCAGACAACACATCTATAGTATACAACAAATTAAAACTAGAAAAGTGTCTAGATGAAAGCTCTAAAAAAAAGTGACAGATTCTTTCTGGGGGATAATGTGGTTAGGATTTTAAAAGTTTAATATATGTCTATCTTCTGTTTTACCTTCATTGACTTTGTTCTTCCTGCACTATCCCAGAACTCTCTTCGCCATGGATGGCTCATTTGGTAATTTATCTCAGATTTTCCTTTGCAGTCTCTCTATAAAAGAAATTGAAAAATCATTGCAAGGGGACAGATAGACCTTTTATATTTCAAAATACTTTACACATTTTTTCTTTAATGACATCTTATTTGCCAGCACTGTTTCCTTGTTTCCTTTGATTACTTTTCATTTAATAGTTCTTTGCACGTTCAGATCTAAAAGCACTGCAACAAGGAGTAAAATACTCATACCCCAAATTTGTGAAACGAAAACAAACACAAGGTGATAAAGTTACTTGCCAAACAATGCAAAAATGTCCAGGCATAGAAGTGAGATCTAGCATGTTATCAGTTGCAACACACTGGAAAATATTTTACTTCTTAGCTGTTAGCTGGACGCTGCAGGACTGGGCTCTGTTCATTCACTGTATATTTCTCCAATGTATGGAATATGGAAGTAGGGTATCTAGGTGCTAATACAATACTAAAGTGTAATAATCATGATGATTATAGTTGGCAGCATACAGTGTAATAGCTTTCTTTTTTGAAGTGGCTTTTAGATATTTTTGCCTACATTTATCTTCCCTCGTACGGGTATTTTGCAATTGTCCTGCGAGGACAATTATGTAGATCAAATACATCTGCTACAGACTTCCTGTGGCACCATCTAAAGGGTGCTATGTGCCATGAGGATGTTCCTGCCTTGCAGGCTGTATGTCTAGGTTTCCTTCCTACAAAAAAGGTTATGCTTGATGTGGAGGCGGGATGTGGGCAGAATGGGTATCCTTTTCCAGGAGCAAGATGCACTTCTGGTGCAGTTTAGACCAGTGACTAAAATACATCAGTTAACTGACTAGGTCCTTTAATGCCCCTTTCACTTAGCTTCCCATCACTAAAAGTAGAAAATTATGCTTCCCTACTTCCAGTAGGTAGGATCAGTGTTTATAAAGAACAGCAATGGATGGTACATTAGGACCTAAAACAAAAAGTTGTTTTTAGGAACACTGTCAAATATTTTAAATCAAATATGTAGAGTTTTCATAGAAAATCCTTTTTAAATTCATAATTTCAGTTGTGATTCTAAGAGGTGTACTCAGTCAATAAACGGAAACATATTACATATAGGGAAGGAAGAAGGAAGACACAGAGAGAGGCAGAGAGGCAGGTTGTGCTGAATTTGGCAAATACTTGATTTATGCTGGTTCATTAATGTTGTGCTAAGAAATATGATAAATAACAATTACAGAAGAAAATAAATAGCATCTGTAAATAAAAATATGTGAAGGAAAAGAGGAGAAATTTGTTCCCATCATCTTCATTCTTAACAGACATCTCATCTCTCCTGTTAACTCTTTCAGTCCTCTATCACAGAAAGAGCAGCTGGATGAAATGATTATACCTTAAAGTATGGATGGGACAACTTGCCTTTCAGTGTGTATTCTCCTTAGTTTAGTTTAGTGTAGGTAGTATAATTGTCCCTGAATACGGTAGCTGATCTGACTGACACAACACTTCCTAAAAACTAAAGAGAAGCAAATTGCTGCCCAAAGGCATCACCAATCAAAACAACAGTGGCAATTACTCCTGAATTTAAAAATTGCTCCAGGAATACCTTCCTGATCAACCAGTTAAAAATTGCACATAGCAGATTTTTTTTTGTCTTCTGTTTAGTTTGGTTTGACAGAGAAGAGGAAGCTTCCTGCAGTTTTTGTTTTCCTCCCCCTTTTCTCATATGTTCCCTTCCCTTCCCTTTCTCTCCATTTCCCGCTTTTACCCTTTTCACCTTCTCTCTTTCCTTTCCTTCTCCTTTCCTTCTCCTTCTCTTCCCTTCCCTTCCTTTCCCTTCACTTCCCTTCACTTCCTTTTTCTTTCTTTCTCTTTCTTTCTTCTCCTTCTTATTCTTTTTCTTGCTTTCCTTTTTCCTTTTTCTTTTTCTTTTTCCCTTTTCATTTTCCTTTTTTTTTCCTTTCCTTTTCCTTTTCCTCTTCCTTTCCTTTCTTTTCTTCCATTTATGCACACAGGCTTATTAATAGTTCACAGTGGAGTTTTGGGACATCGGACAAAACTTTTCTCCAGCACGCAAAGGTAGTGCAGCTAGTGGCTGCAGGTGAGCAGAAAGCAGTTGTTGGCTGATTCTTCATTCCTTAACTAAAATTTGCTTTATTAGAATGTGTGTCTTTGGTGAGCTTAAAGTTTCATTTTCTCCTTATACATTGCTTAATGAGGACTGTAAAGCCACCTGAAACTGTGGCATATCCATATTATAAAAAAATGGATCCACAGTTTCCAGCTAAAGTCCATCTGATATACAGCTGGATGATGCACCTATCTGATTCCCCCCCCCCCCCTTTCTGTAGAAAAGGGAATGCGTATTGCACTTCTAGTATAGTTAAACTCAACACACTGCAGCATAAAAAATATTTGAAAGAGATCAAATTTTTAATGTGGTCTGTCAAAAGCAGAGTGAATCACCAGGCAAGCAAGTATCAAATGTTTCCACTAACACCACTGCTCGTATTCAGACCTCTGGGGCTACCAGGAACAGTCCCACAGAGCCTGCAATTCAGCTCCCCTCTCCATCAGCACCTGAAACCAAGCCTCTAGCACGTTCCTAATTCAGCCTTTCTCAGCACTACAATAAAGCAGTTTTAATTAAGAGGATATAGTCGTATGTTTCAGTGAAGAAGGATGAATTTAAGCACTTGTGAACTTTACGCGCTCGCTTATTTCATGTCAAGACCCCAGTGCTTTCGTCTCTTGCTGGAGAGACTGCAGGAAACGGGTGGAAGCAGTGACAGTGTTTAAAATCATCATTGCAGTTAGCTTTAATGAGTCATCAGCAGCACCCTCTAAACCTATCACACTGACCTTTCTCTGCACCTTTTTTCTTTTTGCGTTAACAGCATTTTTACTTAATACTGTGTTGAAAAAAGGTACAGATAAGGATTTTAAAGCTTTCCTTTTAATTCTAACAAAGAAATACGTTTATTTCACTTCTAAAACCTGCTGACAGTATAAAACGTGTGACTGTAGTGAAGAAAGACACTTTGTCAAGATGGCACCTTGACAGTGCATATGTATGAGCTTACCCTAGTGATTTCCTTGTCATGTTTGCTTAGTTTGGCAGTCAGAGCAAGGTTCTCTCTTTTGTTTGTTTGCTTAGTTATTCCAAGTCCTAGAAGGTCAATAAGGTGACTAATTCCTCAGGAGTATGAAAAATATAAACTAATCCAGCATATGATGGTAGTGATCATACCAAAACCTGAAATACCTAGGGAGAGAAGTATATTTTTACCTTTGATTTTGAATGTATAGATGACCTGATTTCACTGCTGGAATATTTGCATCCGAAGTAAAAAAAAAAAAAAAAAGAGGTATAGCCACAAGCTTAGCAGAATGAAAGGAAAAGAATGGGGAAAAAATATGACAAATAAGTAATAAAAATAGGCCCAAAAAAGAAAATAATGTGACATATACCAGATTTTAGTGATATCAGTGTAAAATTGTATTCTGAAATTTTCTCTGTGGTTGCTAAGCATGCTGTAATTTTCTAATTTGTGATTTGTGCAAACCTTTTCTAGCCAGAACTTTGCATGTGAGAAACATATGTACAGCTGTACTGAAATACTTCATAAATTCATCTCTTTGCCAAATTGTACTTGTTAAAATTCAAAAAAAGATAACATTTCATTTCAACTTTTTTTAAACAAAATATTTCGGTTTTAATCAATATTAAATGTATTTTTGAAGCCTGTACATCCATTGATGGGCTTCTTTTTTTCTGGAGCTGCCAGCAAACAGAAATCCGATTATTTACTTAGCTCTATTTATAACAAATATATATGCAATTGAAAAAACTGTATACAATTAAGACAATTATTTGTGTTTGTACTTTCACAAGCAGTTTTCTAAGGCATTGGCTATTTCTACATGTATAATTTTAATGTAGAATATATTTTTGCTATTGTTTAGACGCTAATTTAATAGCATCACACGTCTGCTAGAAGGAGGAAAAAAAATAGGGTAAAACTTTGTGAATTGGCCATCTCAATAATCTTTAGCCTGGTTATAGATGTTTGCAAAACCATGCCACCGTTCATCTCTTACTTACTATTTTGCAGGATCAAGAGGACATAAGTGAACTATGTAAACTCTTCCCAGATGACAGTTTTAAATATATAAATATTAGTGTGTGAGGATGTGCTTGTGTGCATTTGTACTTGGGCACATGCTCACTTACACTTTGACGTACGTAGTACTTTTGCTCCGTACTTTTATGGACATTTTTTTTTTTAATTCCTTTAGCAGAATTTGAATTAGAATAGGGGTGAAAAGGGAGTCTTTAGATTTCTTCTTCTAGGCAATTCCAGCTTTTGAGCAGTCTTCTTTCCCAAACGCTTATTAATAACTATTTCTCATTACCAACTTATCATTAATACCGATTTCTTTTGTGGTTATCAGATAACCACACAGTTCTTTCTCAGTTTTGGGGCCTGCCTGTTAACCTGAAATTTCAGATGACACTGGTAATTACGAATTTCTTTGTTTCTAAAATTTATGAGAGGTCTACTCAGACTGCTGGCTTCCTTCATCCAGTTCCGAAAAAGTGAAACGAGAAGTTCTAAAGAAGCCTGAAGTACTCAGACTCTTAACTCGTGGCCCCGCATGTGTTTGGACTCCCTGATAAGTTTCCAGCTTTCCAGTGGTCACATTGAGTGTCCTGAGCCATCCCTGTAGTCAGTGATGTATGTGAGACACATCTGTGGCTTGATAAACAGCTCCCAGAAGGCTGTTAAGTAGAGTCCTGTCTGCAGTCTCATTTATTTTGCATTTCACTTTGTGAAGCTACATTACAGCACCTCTTTCAAAGTGCAGTCTTGGAAGGATGGCACATGGATCATCTGACAAAGTGCAGGAGCTAAGAGCTTGGAGCCTGAATCACATAAAAGCAGAGGTTTTGTAAATGACTTTCGCTAGGCATCCACAGTTACTTAACTCACCACTTCAGTGTAGCAGCAGCCCTTCCTCCACGCTTCCACAGGGATCAAGTGGGAGGTTTTACTATCACAAACATTTCTGGGGCATGTTTAAGAGTCTCAAACACAGGCGACTATCTAAAGATATCCTCATTTACTCTTCATAATTTTTTTTTCCCCGTAGGCAATTCCCCAGATTTATCTGTACAAATATGGCAGTAGCACATCTTATATAACACTTTCCCTTCTGACTAGAGATGTGTGAGCTAAAGTGAGCCTTTTAATAGGCTACTTTCTTAAAGATTTATAACAGTTTCAACACAAACATCAGCCTGCTTATTAAAGTATAACTGTGAAAGGGAGGAGTCAAGGAATAAGCACAGTATGATTAAATTGTAATTATGCTGACAAGTGTAAAACAAGTTTTTAATTAAGAAGCAAGGATTTACTGAACTCTTTTACAGTGAAAAAAATGGAGAAATATTCTCTGAGCTGCCAGTAGCTTCTATGCAGAGTATCAAGGATATCTGGTTTGTGAAGGGGAAGATTTTAATCTATGTCCTTTCGTATAGCATGTTTCACTCTTTACTGGCGAGGAATTTTAAACTTGTTTGTTGTAATGAACAATGCCTAGAGAACAAGATAGCAGAGCATGATATCATTTACATTGCATCTATTTTCAAAATGTCATTTTAAAAATTCTATTTATGAATTTTATTGGTCATAAACTTTATTCTAATTTGCCACAGCATGTGTCTCCCATTCTTCTTCTATGCTGAGCATTAGATAGCATTCTTGAAAATGGAAGGTAATACATGGAAAGAGAGGTGAATTAGGACTGGTCTGTGAGGTTTGTCCTGTCTGATCAAAGGCTTGATTCAGGATTTCTAAAAAGTGTTTTGTATTGGCCCCTCCACATTTATCTAAAGAGCACGGTCATATCTCTCAACTTGTTAAGATTCAAATGCAGAAGACCTTTCATGGCTTTTAATTAACTTTTCAAAATGTTTAAGTTCATCTGGTTTTGCACTGAAACAGATCAAGGTTGGGATTTACCCACCTAATCTCGCCTGGGCTTAACATAAGAGCTTCAGGAGCTTATTCTTCCAGCCCAACATCTGGACTGTGTAAAGGCGCTCCCACATTTTTCTTAGCTCTGTCTAGTGGGCCCACGTTGCCTGTGCTGATTAGGTGTGCATGCTTGCTGCCCAAAACATGACGGAAGTGAGGCCCCGCTGCAGCTGTGTCACCAGTTAAGGTATCTCAGATGTGCATGGATGGTAATGTCCATCAGAGGAGCACTGATGAGTAGGAGGGAAGGCAGCTCCTTCAGCCACACTAGTGAGATCTTCAGAGCAGGTGTGCCTAGGCCGTCTGCCAGGGATCAAAATGTAAATGTAGAACAACAATTTAGCAAATAGAAAGACCTTTGTAAATGCAGATTTCAGACATTTATTGACGCTTCCATCTTTAGTAAATTTTCAATCAAATTAAATGACCATGGAATAATATAATGATGTAGTAGGACTAAATTTGACTGGACATTGGTAGAAATTAGTAGATTTATTATAGTATGTTATTGGTTTACAACAGGGCAAAGGTTGAAATGTCAATGTGATTTACACCTAGATTTTATTATTATTCATCATTAACCATTAAATTTCTAACCCTTTTTATTTAGTGCTGGATACATCAAACAAAGTTTTTAAGGAAAAGATACCGCATTTTAATCTCTTTCTTTCGAAAAAACTTCAGTCTGCTCTGCAGGTAGCACAGAATGTTTAAATACACTTCTATGCAACGAACTGGAACACACATTTTCAAATTTCAGTGTTGAAAATCAAGCACCTAAATTCAAAGTGAACAGGCTCAGCAATTTCCACTGTTTCATGAGTTACTTGGGAGTAACTTTCCTAAAAGTTAGAAAATCCTAACTGCTGAACTCCTAAGGGGAGCAACAGAATCAGACTTGTAAGATATGTGGATACTTTGGGAAAATTTTGCTTTAGCAGTCGCCTTTAGTTGCCCAAGCTTGAGGACATTAACTCATAATAGCCATTTTCCAGGCCAAGCTTTCAGAATCTGTAACATAGCATTTGGCTGACTCAAGCTTGTCTCTTTCTGTAACAGAAATTGGCTTCCCTACTACCTCGTGACTTACCATCACAGTGGTAAACACTCTCCAGAACCCTTTTGAAAGGGATGATTCATCCCCGGGGTATTTTTAGGAATTTGTTAACTTGCATTTAGCTTAGTGTGCTAGTAGCCAATAAACAGAGTGAAGACAAGCTTTGAGTAGTCACACATAAACCATTTTGAATGCTATAATTGTACTACATTATCTCGGTCTGTAGACTGAGTCATCTGCTGGTTAAGCAGAATGGAAAAACAGCATAAGACTGTTGCTACAACAGGGAGTTTGATAAAATGCTAAAGAAATCAATGCTAATAGCTGGATTAAGCTTATCTTCCCAGGATTACACCTGCTTGTTCTGCGCGCAACTTGCAATACATGGTGATTTTTGCAAAGTTACTGAAGATTTATATGTAAATATTACATGAATCTAAGTGCCAGTATCAGATAAAAACACAGTCGAATATATAGACAAAAATACAGTCTAATATACTAACGTACCTTTTCGAACAAGTTTGACTCCAGATAGTACCCATTGTATATCTTGTGTTTCAGTTCCTCTAAAAGAAGAATGAAATACAGTGTGCACTGCTTATTGTATGTGGCTGGGGACCCATTTTTGCTCACACTTGGAAATATGCCCAAAGAGGGCGGGAGGAGGAAAGGAAAGAGGGGGGAGGAAAGGAAGGAGCAAAGGAGTAAGAGAGAAAGAGAATTTATTAGTAGCTGAACACTAGTTGAAACAAAGTGCAAATCAGAAATAGGTTTTGCAGCAGCTAGCCTAAGAAGCAGGTAATAAGTAAATGAGATTTTACACTGTCCTTGGGACTGTGAAATAGAAACTAGCTTTTGGCAGCCAGAGTAGGGGAATGCCACTTCACGGGGAATAGAAAGTGATGAGTTACAGGAACTTGGCAGACTGATCGGATCATTTCATCCTCTCGCTCAAAGCAGTAAGACCCTGGCATCCCAGTTTACGCAAATATCAGGAACGCGTTCCTCACCAAAGTGTATGTGTATTAGAAGGCAGTGACACAGTCTGTCATGTTCATCTACGGATAGTTCTCCTTCAGCGTGTGTCATTCAGCTATCCAGCTATACTCAGTGCAATGAATTAGGCCTGTGAAGTAAACATTTAGCTGTTTGGAAAATACAATTTTTTTTTGCATTTTCCATTGAAGAATGTGGAATCAGTGAAAGCAAAATATTTTTCAGAGATCACAGTGAAGCTGCAGCAGAACACATATAGGGTTTTGATGTATTTGCTCGTGCCAAAAATGTCTCAGAACTCCCTGTTCACATGCCAGCCTACCTGCTGATTTTTTTAGCACCTGATTAATGAATGAATGAATAGATGAGAGGACAAAGACCCGTACAGCCCTATCTCCTTTACAACTTGCCTGAAGGTTTCCAGGATTTTCAAATTCTCAGGTCAACAGAGGCACTCGTGTGGATTTAGGAGCCTGGTTACTCTGGAAGCTTCACAATTGGGGCCCTGGCGCTACAGTGACCGTGATAATTTCTAGCCGCCCAGATAACATTGCTCTCCATTTCTTCACTTTGGATATAATTAAATATTCATTGAGCTGAAAAGAGATTGCCGCTATGGTTGGTAGTTTAGGACAGTCATCTGGTTTAGAATAGAGATTTGAATCCAAGCTGACGGATGCCTTCACACTGAAATACTAATTGGCACAAGAATTAACATTCAGATGACTGTCCTAATTATCAGGCTATATAGCATCTCTTAATGCCTTAATGAATCGTTTATTATGAAATGCAAAATGCAACAGAACAACTGAAGCAACTGAAGAAGCCACCTATCCCAGCTACCTAGCTTGATAGCTCTCTCACAAGACATATGGGTTTAAAGCCCTTCTGGTGAAAGGAACAGAAGCCAGAACCCTAAATCCTATACTGCTATTTTATGTTTTTTATAGCACCACATGCTCCTTGTTATGCCTAGAACTTTATTATGAGTGTTTTAGTACAAATTTGTGATAGTTTTGCTTCCCACTACATCACATTTTTCAGATAATGTACTCTTAGCTAAAGAAACAAGAGACAATGCAAAGTTACCAGATCCATTCCGGATTCCATTAGAAATCAAAAGGTGATAACAACTTTGTAATGTAGTGATGTGTCAAAAAACAGTCTTGCAGTTTAACCCCAACTGTTGTTACTTAACATATTTTAAAGCAATAAAAAAGGTTAAAACGTTGAGGCATTGAGTGCAATGACAGTGAATCAACATTCATCTATGAATACAGTTATAGCTAATGTCCCCTCAGGTTCTCCAGATCCATGTCAGCTTGACAGAGGTTATGTATGAATCCTGTCACCAGCTTTATTGTTATTTCTCTGTACATTGTGAATAAGACAACATGCATTAAAAGAATGCTTCTTCAAAGGCATTCTGATGTTAACGGTGGATACTAACATGAGAAGAAAGAGTATTATGACAAACCTGAGAGGTTTACTGTTCTTCCATTTCTTTCTCCACAAAGTCGTTCCCTTAATTTGTATAAGACAAACACAGTATCTTGGCATGGTATCATCCAAGGAGACGCTGACCAATATGAGATCAGATACCTTTCAGTAATTTTTTCTGAAATATTCTCTGTCAAAATTAGCAAAGCAGAGGTGGTGGTGTCTGCTGAAAAAAGCAACAAATGAAAGCTGTGCTGCTACCTGATGTTCCTGTTGGGATTTCTTCAGCGTAATGTCTACCTCAATCCACTTACTAGAGCATGATACAGAGATGTAAGGGTAGCAAAATGAAAAAAATGAGAAAAGGAAAGAAGTAAAATATCAACTACAGCAGAAGAAATAAAATGCAGGAATCCAGGAAATATTTGGTAGTAAGAAATGAAAGCCTGACACCCAAAGGCTAAAACAGAATCACTGCAAAACTGGGGAGAGTAACCACATCACTGAACTCATTTCAGTGGGTTTTTTTGTCCTTTTTCTTTCTTTAAGGAAAACAGTAGCCTTATTTTCCTCTATAGCAGCAATCCCAAAAAAAAAGAAAGTTAAAACGAAACTAAAGTGCAATTCTATCACTGAAGCCAGATTGTTTAGCATATGTAACCCCATATTAACCCCTAAATATCCAAATTTCTCACTAGCATATATATGCAGGATATCTATACATCTCTGAAAAGTCCCTTGTCCTGTTTCCCAGTGTAATCTTTTTTTCAGAATACTGTAACATCTACAGAAAGACCAAATGAGAATTCCGCACTAGGGAAGTGGGGAAGAAAGAAGATGCCGCTCCCTCCACCACGTTAAACTACTTCTGATGGGGTCTGCTGCATCTGATTGTTCTGTGGCTGTTCTTGATAAGGTTTCTTGTCTACGTGGCACCGGCACTCTGACAGAGGGTGTATTAAAATAAATCACAATCTGTTTCCCCGAGGTTAGATCTTGTTATACCTTCTTGATAGTTAATAGCAACTAAGATATCACCCAAAGACTATTTAAGATTATACCTAGACAAGATTCCAGATGTAAAAAGTACTACACAGGTTTTACTCCAAATTCCTCTAGGTATCTCGGGAACAACGTCAGTTTGGACCTTACTGAAATTATTACTCTGGACCACAAAAGTATACAAGAAGGCAATTAAGCTTGACCTCAAATACCAGCACAAAGGATGAGGCTGATTTTCTGGAGGAGCCTGATGTCTCAAAGTCACTCATTCATGCAGTGATGCCACACCTGCCACTATAGCCACAGGTTTACTTGGCTGGCTGCCTGCCTGCTTCTTGACTTGTAATCCAACCGATTTATTATACTACATAGTTCTTTGACTGGCTGCTACTAAAGTAAGCATGGATTGCTATTTGCATTCCTTCTCATTTTCGTCAGTTACCTATATGACTTTGTATGTACTTATGTGCCCCTTTTTGCTTTCTCTTCACTGTGTCTTACTCTAACAGCATCTTTAAATCTCTTCTAAAACATGGCTGACATATCCATGTTTAATCCAAATCTCCTCAGTTCCCTTGTGTGTCTGTAACATAACTAATCTGGCCGAGGTCTTCCATCTCCACCCACGGTCATTTCCAAAATGAGATCATGATTCATGCCATGGCGCTTTTATTCTGAACATTAACTTATGTTTCAATAGCTCCATGACTGGCACCTACTCTTACAAAGTCTGAAGAACAATTTACAAAGGAATTTCCTTTTAGATCCCTGTTATTTATGAGCTGCATGACATAAGCGTGTAAAGCTCTTTTAAAGAGATAATGGGGCTTTTAGTGAATTTCCCCATTAATTGGTTCTAAAACATTTCTGGTGCTAATGCAGTTGCAATTATGTTGTAGTGGCCTGGTTTCAACACTTCCAATTGCTACTTCTCCCACTGTGCTGTGGCTAGGAAGGAAAAAGTAGGGGAGGGGAAAGAGGGGGGAAAAAAAACAAAAAGAGAGAGAGAGGGTGTGCGCAAGAGAAGAGAGTCTGCATCTGCATTTGCATATAATTGGAGACTAACTTCAGAATTTGCCATTAGTTGCGAAACTCATTTTCTCAAAGAATGGAAACAAGTGCTTTTAAAAAGCAGCCTCAGTGTGTAGGAGGTTATTTTAATTAGCAAGGACTATCAACACTTACCATTACACCTTAGGAATTGGTGACCTTTCAAATAGCTTTAACACAAGAAGCTGACTTCACAGAGATATTGCTGTTATTATTTTTAATACCCTTCAAGAAATATGGAAGTAACTTTTTTCTTGATTTTGCAAATAAAAAGCAGTACTAGATTATAGAAGCATAATGCTATTTTGTAGTTTGTCCTCTATTTCTTTTCCAACACTGCTTAACATTTTCTTTGCTTTTTAACTGTAGTGAGTCCTTAGCCAACATTTTCACAGAATTCACTATTAAACTTCACTCTAGAGCAGTAAACCGGTATGATATGTATAAAATGAGGATCATTCATCTTAGATATATTACGTTACATTTGCATACACTTAACTTCATCTTCCGTTTTGTCAGTCAGGACTTGTCAGGTCCTTCTACAATGCTAGATGGTCACCCTGCGTTTTTTTACGAACATGAACAACTTAGATTTCTCATTAGATTTTGCCACATCATCTAATTGCCCTTTCCAGATCATTTATGGATACGTTAACAGCACAGATCACTGAAGTATTCTGTTGTGCTCTGTGTGTTGTTTTACTCCGTTCATAACACTGACCATGTACTAAATCTTCTGTTTTCTATTTCTTGACTAAGTGTTAAGTATGTGAACATCTACCTAATGGCCATTTAATTAAAAAAAAAAATCTTTTAGCCAAGTGAAATTTCAAAATACAGTTTAGAGATTCAAGTATATTTTATGAATCAGCTCTCCTTTATCCATACGGCTGTTGATCTCACCAGAGAGCTCTAGCAGGTTAATCGTGATACATCATGTATCAGGGGAGGGGAAGCATGGCTTTCATATATGATATGTCATGCTAAGTCTATTCTTTATTACAGATTGCCTGGCTTGTGTGGTATGGACATCAGAATTACAGATTAGCATTTCTCCAGGTTTACCCTGAAATCATTCTTAAAAGTTGGCACCATATTAACTACCTTCCCATCCTCTGCGGGTTGAGCAGTTCTAAATGAAAGATTTCATACCACAGTTAATAGCTCGGCTATTGCATCCCTGAATTTTTTTCAGAACTGTGTGTGAATAACACATGATTCTGGCAATTTATTCTATTATCCTTTTTGTATAACTTCAGTGTGAATTATGTCCACAGTGCCCTTAAAGAAGCAGAAAGGATCACTTTTAAGAACCTTGCCATGCTCTTCCAAAGTGAACATAACTTTTTTCTTGGAAGAAAGGAAGAAAGGAAGAAAGGAAGAAAAAGGGTTGCCTGTCCTGGATATCATTTTTAACTTCTTTTCGTGTTGGGACTTTGCATATCTAAGGACTATCATCCTTACACAGAAGGAATAATGAAAATGATTTATGTATAAGTTCAGGCTCAGTGAAATAACTGGTAAAAACATGTCAATGGTCAAATGCTTCGATGAGTAATACTTTGGTTGTTGACAAAAGAGGGACAGGTGGACAATCAGTACACACCAACTTGCAAAGCTGTTTGGAAGGATCTTATTCTTCTGAACAGGATCACACAACAGTTGTTTGATCCATGCAATGCTTGTCTTATACAGATCTATAAGAATCTCAGATGAAGTAACTGAACTGAAGCAGTAAAGTCATCTTACAAAATAAGTAGGATTAAAGGAGTAGTATTAATTTAGGATACACCAAAGGCTCAAGATTCCACATACTTTTAGAGTTTATTCTATTTGTTAATGTTGTTCTCAGTAACAGGAAACAAAGACGCGGAATGCAGATCTGACTCTTAAGAATATTCTGATATTGTTACTGGAGCTTTCAATTTTTTCAGAGTGCTAACAAAATAATTGTGCAATAGTTTAAAATACATCTGCTATCACAAATAGAAAGTGTAATAGTTGTGATTTTTTCAATACAAGAAAGGAAGGAGGACCAAAGTCACCCCTCAAAATATTCTTATCTCGCTATTAGCCTGGTAATATCATATAGTAATTACAAAAATTATCTCTTTAGCATATTGTCTAGTGAAATTCTATTTTTGCTCAAGAAGTAGTCATATTGCTCCCACTTCCTATCCACAGTCCTGCAAGTCTGGCGCTGTAATATTCTCCCGATCTGTTTCCTCAAGGGTCGCAGTAGGTTCCAGGCATCAGATCAATCAATGATCTACTGTTAAGGAGCTACCTCCACAGGTCTTCCTTGATACTCATTTTGATTTCCTTACATTTACCTCCTAGGCAGGAACGGATAGCTTTAAGCTGTTGTTGGGATTGTCTGCAGGAATGAGAAACCCCATAGATATTTCGGCCTGTATGACTGACCAGCTCTGTCCCTAGCAAGTGGTTTTGGAGGACGAATAGATTCAGTATTATCACTATACCAGCACGCCTGGGAGGCAGGGGAGATAGTATGCTGCTATTCCTTGGCTAGAAGGACGAAGGCTAGAGTTCTAAAAGCATCAGGAAGGAACCCAGTGTCCATATGTACAGGAGAGGCAATGCTGACCAGCAAAGTATGTCAACAAACAGACAAAGGAGGAGGTTGTTATCGTTACCACTTACCAGGGCTGTAAGTGCAGTGAGGAATGCTGAACCGTTTACATTCCTTTTACCTGTAACTGGCTTACATTTCTGGTGTCCTCCCCTTATCAATCACCTTTCCTAATTCCTGCAGTGACTCATGTATTGGATGAACTGCAATGGGCAGTTATTTTACACTCAGGTGCTGATAAGAGTTTCTTTCTGTTTGCATCAGCTTTTGTTTCATAAACAACCTCGTTGACCCATTTCTCCAGTACTCTGGGTACTGGGCAAAGGCTTTTCAAGGATTATATTGTTAAACTGGAATTAACCTGCAATGTGCTTTCATAGTGATGTTGAAGGACCAATATATCACACAAAATTGTTTATATTGCTCATTAATTTTCCATTATGGACAGGAGAATTTTAGAGCATCTCTATAACCGCCTATTTTGGGGTTTAAACTGTTTTTTGAGGATAGACTGTATTTCATTTACCTTTAGATGTGCACAGTGTAAATATCTATATACGAGCTCACCGCCTCATTTAATTCTTTCTTCAATAGAGAGAATTCAGTATTTTAAAATTGGTCTGATGACTTGTGCTCTAGAAATGCCTTATTATCTCCTATAACTAGAAAAGAAGTCTGAATGACCAGCCCAGCTGCAGATGTCTACATTGTTTATGTCAATATTTAGTA